GACCCCTATGAGTTGGAGGCTAGCCTAGTCTGCATGGCGAGTTCCAGGACAGCCAGAGCTTCGTAGTGAGAGCCTGTCTTAAGACAAACCAAACCACCAATACTCTTTCTTAGTCTAGCTTCTGTTCCCTTTATTCTAGCCTTTCCATTTGTTTTTAAATTTGCGTGCACAGCAACAGGCTTCAGTATGGCTTTTTCTGACACACTTGTTCTTGTCAATTTTTCTACACCATTCACCCCCCCTTCCCCTATGTTCCTCCAAGTAGCCCCCTTTTGGCTTTTACAGTCAGATTTGTTCTATCACCTTCTATTCCCTCCTTTACAGTCTTTTCCTCTCTTGTGGTCCCCTTTCTAGCTTCGTGACCTACACCCACCCACTCCTAAACATGTGTGCACACGTACCGGAAGACTGAAATATAGGCTCCCCATATGAGAGAAAATAGGTGATGTTTGTGTCCCTAAGTTTTCTTAATAGTTTCCAGGCTTTTCTTAGTTATTATCCAATCTGCCTGATGCATCATGCTTAAGAAAAATTAATTCCAGTGACCCTAGTACCTGTCCACTAAAATAACTAAAATGCGAAGCTGTGGGGCCCGTTGTCTTAGGCCTTGTTGGCTGCTAGGACAAAGAAGGTCCTGGTGACTTAGAAAGAACATAAGCTTACTTTTGTAGTTCTGAAGTCAGGAAGTCCAGGTTTGGGTTACAAGGACTAGGGAACCCTAGAGAGAGCCTACTTTTTGAACATAGGCTTGGGACTCTTCTTCGTGTGCTTACATGCCATAAAGAAATCTGGGAAGATCTCTGGCCTCTTATTAAAACAAAGATCCCACTCATGGGTGTGTGTGGGGGATTCTTATGACATAAATGACCTCTCAGGGGTCTCACCTTCAAGTGCCATTCCATTAGGGATGAAGCAGGAAGGACACCAGCCTTAGGTCAGTTGTAGCCATAGAACTCCCACAGACTGCTGATGGAAGTGCTCACTGGTAGAGGTTGTTAGGAGAAAATACCCATCAGACAGTATCCACTGGAATTGCACAGATGTATTACGTATTATGTCTAACAATTATAGTTCCCGATACAGATATGATAGAAACGTGCAAACTATTCAAAGGGCCTCCAACGGAGGCCTACCCAGATGCCGATTAGTGAGAAAATAGTGATATCTATGCTTGGAATGTTTACATCAAGACATGTAATGCAAATGAGAGAGAACAAAATAACGAAACTATAGGTAAGTCCCCCCCACACAGCATCAAATGCAAAAGGCCAGGTACTAAACCGTGCGTATCGTAGCTGCATTTAAGTTGCCTGAGAGCAGACAAGGCTAATTTATAGTGTTAGAAGCCAGGCTGGGGCAGTGGGATGGCTCAGCTGGTAAGAGCACTTGCCACCAAGCCTGCCAACCTGGGTTGGTTGGATCCTGGAAGCCAAATAGGGAAAGGAAAGAACCAGCTACCATAAGATGGCCTCTGTCTTGCACATGCAAACTGTGGCACACCCTGCCCCTCCCCCATTACATAAGTTCCAAGAATGTGAAGACAATGACTAGAAAGAAAGATGAGACATGGAAATGATTGCTTACCGGCTTCTGATCGTAACCTTGATGCTATAGGCACAAATATGTTCAGTTTGTGAACACCAAACATTTTTTTGATGCTCAAAATCTTGATTTATTAAAATATGTCTTATGTACGATTTCTGTCTATATGTAATTATGGTTTGTTTGTTTTATACACTATTTCTTTTTGTTGTTGTTGTTAATTATGTATACAGCATTCTGCCTGCATGTCTGCCTGCACACCAGAAGAGAGCACCAGATCTCATTATAGATGGTTGCCAGTTACCATGTGGTTGCTGGGAATTGAACTCAGGTCCTCTGGAAGAGCAGACGGTGCTCTTAACCTCTGAGCCGTCTCTCCAGACCAATTTCTTTCTTTCTTTAAGTTTCATTCTACGTTTCAATCCCAGTTCCCCCTCTCATCCATCCTCTCGCCCTCTCCACCTTTTCCCCAGCCCACTCCCACAAATATTTTATATTTCATACTTTCCTACACAGGTTACATTCTAATTATTATAGTAAACATTTTTCCTTAAAACAAAACCAGACATGAAACAGATGTTTCTGTTCTAAATCTCCTTCATGGAGCTGGAGAGATGGCTCGGTGACTAGGAATGTTTACTGTTCTTACAAGACCAGGATTTGGTTCCTAGCACCCATGTCAGGCAGCTCACAATGGCCTGTGACCTTAGGTCCAGGACGTTTGATGCTCTCTTGTGGCCCACACGGCACCTACACTCGCAATACAGGTGTATTACACACACACACAAACACACACACACACACACACACACTTACACACACTTTTTAAAGTTTAAACCTTTACATCTCCTTCAGGGAAGAAGACAGGGAATAATTCACATACAGAAATCCCGAAGTCAGACAGTTCCAAGACAACATCGTCGTCGTCGTCGTCACGGCGGAAGAAGTCCAAGAAATCGGATAAAGAGGGTGGTTCCAAGCGTTTCAGGGCAGAAAAGCCCCCCAAGAGTGATGAAAGACACAAGTCATCTAAGCATAAGAGGAAAAGTAGCTCAAGTTCGACTCCAGAAGCAGGTAAAACAGTCACTTCTAGCAGTAAGAAGCGTGCCTCTGTGATCCTGGGAACAAAGAGTGATGACAGACACAGGCCATCTAAGAACAAGGGGAAAAGTGGCTCAAGTTCAACTCCAGAATCAGGTAAAATAGTCACTCCTAGCAGTAAGAAGCATGCCTCTGTGACCCTGGGAACAAAGAGTGATGACAGACACAGGCCATCTAAGAACAAGGAGAAAAGTGGCTCAGCTTTGACTCCTTAAGCAGTTAAAATAGTCACTCTTAGCAGTAAGAAGCATGTCTTTGTACCCCTGGGAACAAAGAGTGATGACAGAGACAGACCACCTCAGAACAAGGAGAAAAGTGGCTCAGCTTTGACTCCAGAAACAGGTAAAATAGTCACTCTTAGCAGTAAGAAGCATGTCTTTGTACCCCTGGGAACAAAGAGTGATGACAGAGACAGACCACCTCAGAACAAGGAGAAAAGTGGCTCAGCTTTGACTCCAGAAACAGGTAAAATAGTCACTCTTAGCAGTAAGAAGCATGTCTTTGTACCCCTGGGAACAAAGAGTGATGACAGAGACAGACCACCTCAGAACAAGGAGAAAAGTGGCTCAGCTTTGACTCCAGAAGCAGTTATTAAAGTCACTCTTAGCAGTAAGAAGCATGTCTTTGTATCCCTGGGAACAAAGAGTGATGACAGAGACAGGCCATCTCAGAACAAGGAGAAAAGTGGCTCAGCTTTGACTCCAGAAGCAGTTATTAAAGTCACTCTTAGCAGTAAGAAGCATGTCTTTGTATCCCTGGGAACAAAGAGTGATGACAGAGACAGGCCATCTCAGAACAAGGAGAAAAGTGGCTCAGCTTTGACTCCAGAAGCAGGTAAAACAGTCACTCTTAGCAGTAAGACCCCTGCCTCAGGGACCCCAGGCACATCTTCGAGTCAAACGTCGGCCACAGCCTCGACCACACCACCAACACATCAGAGCACCCCTCAGGAAAAGTCCACTTTGGGGAAAGATTCTCTGGGCAAAACACAGCATGCCAGCAACGCCACCAACCCCAAGCGTAAGCCCGCCCGGCAAGGTAAGAACCACTTTAAATGTAAGGAATGTGGGAAAACCTTTAACCAGACCCTCCACCTTGTGGAGCACGAGAGAATCCACACGGGGGAGAAACCCCACAAGTGTGACACGTGCGGCAAGTCTTTCCGGCACCTCTCGTACTTCCTTACACACTACCGAATCCACACGGGCGTGAGGCCCTACAAGTGCAAGGAGTGTGGCAAAGCTTTCAACAGCAGCTCGACCCTCAACAACCACTGTCGGATCCACTCGGGCGAGAAGCCCTTCAAATGCGACGAGTGCGGGAAGACCTTCAAGCAAAGCACCAAGCCCCCCCGCCACCAACGCATCCACACCGGGGAGAGACCCTACAAGTGCGGAGAGTGTGGCAAGTCCTTTGGCCGCAGCTCATCCCTGAGGGAGCACAAGAGGATCCACACGGGAGAGAAGCCCTACCGCTGTCAGGTGTGTGGGAAAACCTTCAGGGTCAACTCCCACCTCTCGGAGCACCAGAGGCTCCACCTGAAGGTGAAGCCCTACAGGTGTGACAAGTGTGGCAGACACTTCCGAAACAGCACCTACTTAGCAGAGCACAAGCAGAGCCACTTGCCGGGGGCCCGAGCAGACTGCCCAGAATGTGGCAAAGTCTTCGATTGCAAAGTATCCCTTCTCAAGCACAGGAAGAGACACGAGGCCAACTCCAGGTACCGGTGCAAGGGGTGCGGGAAAACTTTTAGATGCTAGTCAAGCATCCAGAGGCACGAGAGGCTGCATGCCGGGGAGAAGCCTTTCGTGTGCACTGAGTGTGACAAAGGTTTCACTGACAAAACTACGTTGAACAATCACTTGAAGATCCACTCTGGAGACAGGCCAGATCCATGCGCCCAGTGTGGGAGAGCCTTCAAAAAGCTAGCTACCCTGCTGCTTCACCAGAAAAAGCACGAGAACCAGAAACCCACCGACAATGTATAAAAAAAGACCTTTAAGCCAGAACTCACGGCTGTGGGTCTTTGGAACAAAACCGAACTGAAAGAAACTGTGTAAGCGAACAGTTGTTCCTTCGTTTCTTAGTTGTTTTCTTGTAAGCTAGTAATTGTTCACAAAAGACTGTTTTTTAACCCTTCCCCTACTTGGAGCATTTGTGCAATATAAAGAGACTTTTAGTCGTTGTTCATATCATACCAATTGACATCTATGGTTATAGGCAAAGGATGGTATCACATATCCCACAATGTACCAGACAGACTCTCTTGCCTTCCAGTAACTAAGAACAATTTGGCCTCTCTCAAGCAAAAGCCATGTGGGCATTTGGATTTGAGAAGGAACTCAGGTAGAGTTTTTCTCTGCCAGCCACTACAGTAACCACTAACTAGGTATGGCTGTTCAAATGTCAAGGAATCGACACGGAATACACATCTCAATGCAATCTCTTGGTTGCACCCTCAACATTTCAAGTCCTCAGTGGGCGGTTACCTTCTCTGGCCGCTGAGATCACGGACAGCCACCGTTTTCAAAACCATGGAAGATTCATTTCAGAACTCGTTTAGATCTCAGCGATCAATCATTATCTCGCGGGATGACCCCGAGAAACTAGGACACAGCTTTGTGATGCGGAATCTGTGCTTAAAAAAAAAAAAAACAAAAAAAAACATTATATATATATATATAGCAGAATGTAGCATTTTGTACGTTTTGTGAATGTGTTGGAGCCTGTGATGTTTGGAGCACTTTCAGATATCTGATTGGCCAGCACCCCACCCATAGGACTCCTAACTCGTCCTTGATAACTGTGAGCATGTTTTGATCAGTATCTACCTATCAAGTACGGTGCTGAACTCTATGCGGATTAGAGTCCTCTGAGATAAGAACTTTTATGTACCTAATTTTCTGTTGAGAAAACCAAGACTTCTTTAAGAGTATCTTCTGTCTTCGCCTTCTTCTCCCCCTCCTCCTCATTCTCCCCACAGAGGACTCCTACCTCCATTGTGCCTTGGGCACGATGACCAGTAGGGTATTCGCAGTATTACTGATATATTTGAGTGTTTATCAATGTCTTTCTACTTATCGAATATGGTGCTGAAGCCTTTACACGAACTGTGTCAGCTAATCAATCCTACCAGTCGTATGAAGTAAGTATTATGGACCTTATTTTCTTTCTTTCTTTTTTTTTTTTATTCCCTTTTGTTCTTTGAGGCAGAGTCTCACTGTATAGCCTAGACTAGCCTCAAATGTGTGACAGACAACCTGCCTCCATCTTTCCGGGGCTGGGATGACATTTGTGAGCCACCATACCTGGCTGTGCTGCTTTGTAAGATGTGTTATTTCCAATTTTTGCACTTAAAGCAAGACTGTGTTGCTGATTTCATATTGCACTCTTTCAAATAGAGATTTATTATATATTATATATTTACATAAAATGTCTTTAAAATGTGTGTGCAAGTGCACGCATGAGTGTGTGTGCGTGTGCGTGCGTGTGTGTGTGTGTGTGCGTGTGCGTGTGCGTGTGCGTGTGCGTG